GACCGACAAACGAAATGAAAGTGCAATGAATTGGATGATGGCGATGGGTGTGTTAAGGGAATAGCTAAATACACTGAGAGAAAAAAACAATATTAGCAACGGAGCATAAATTAACAATATAAGATATTAGAAAAATTTTCAAAATAATATAAAAAAATAAATAAAAACAAAGAAAAAATTAAATAAAAAGTGCAATCTAATTAGAATAAATATTACAATTTATTTTTTGTTTAAGTTTATTGACATAAACGCCTCTAGTTAAATATATATGTAAATTATATATGTATGTCTTTAACAATATAGATTAATTAAAGGTGTATTTATAATACATATATAATTTTCGTTCGCCATGTGATTGACGGAATAGGAATTTCATTTGAATGAAACTAATTAAATGCTTTGCATCAAAGACCACATGAATCGTTTACAAAAAAGCAAAAAAACAAAAAAAAAAATACAACAAAAAAATTAAATAATCAAATGTTTTATTTTATTTGCTGTCGTTGTTGTTGTTGTTAGGCAAAGAAAGATTGTTCACATCATGTTTTTTGGCGACCATTGCTTGGCATTAATTTATTTAAATTTCGGTTGACCACGCGTAATTTTTTGATGAAATTTTCAACATCCAATTAAATGATGCTACTCGTAAACTATACAGATGGTTTGCATATTAGAAGCAAATCTATATCTCTTTTGTTTTCTAATACATACAAGTGTCTGTGTGTAAATGTTGTCATTTAAGATTATCACTGAAATATGTTCTTCAGTGGGCATTTTCAATTTATAGCAATTTAAAATTTAAAAAATGAACAAAAAAATACAAACTGAAAAATATAAGCATTGTGTCTGTTTCAATTTGTTTGCCAAAACAAATTTTGTTGAAAAGATATTATTTCCAGGGGTTTTATAAAAATAGAAAATGGGGACAATAGGTATATATACAGAGGAATAAATATATCCTCTATATATAAGTCGGTTTTTTTAAAATATGTTCTTAAAGATAAAACTGAGGTAGTATTTTTATACCCTACACAACTATTTGTTAGGGTATTATAGCTTTGTGCAGCCCCAAGTGTTTGTAACGCCGCGAAATATTGGTCCTAGGCGAACCTTTAAGTATACCGATCGTCATATCTCGACTAGCTGAGTCGATCTAGACATGTGTGTCCATTCGTCTGTCCATTATAATTTGTAAAAACGATACAGGCCACAGTTATGGACCAATCTTCACGAAATTTTGCATGTAGGATGGGTTATGGCCAATGAATACCCCTTTTGTTTTTGCTAAAGATCGGTTAATATTTAGGGGATGAATGGACCAAAAACCTAATTTTTGTCGGTTTTTCTAGTCGCTCCAGAGGCCGCAATTAAGACCCAAACATCGCGAATTTTACATGGAGAAGGAGATCGGGCCAAAGAATAAGCATGCCTGTTTTGATAAAGATCGGTCAATATTTAACGGGTCAAATGGACCTTAACATTTCTGTGAAAAATGACAAAATTTATATTCTATGGCGTATGTATTTACTCGTGAAGGACATAGACCCAAGAAGTTGACAGTGGTAGTGGTTGGCCTTAATTGATACCAATTATATTGTCGTATGTAATCGAATGTGGGAGTTACACGTAAATATTTTCAGGAGCTTACGTATTCAGTATTATTTAGTAATTCATTGCCTCACTAGAGGACGGAAATATAGCGAAATTTTCCATGAGGTTCCAGTTATGGTCAAGGACAACGCCTATAATTTTCGATGGCGATCAGATAATAATTTTGGGATGAAGTGAACCACACTAGAGGACGGAAATATAGCGAAATATTCCATGAGGTTCCAGTTATGTTCATGGACAACGACTATAATTTTCAATGTCGATCAGATAATAATTTTGGGATGAAAACTTAATTTTTTGTGTTTTTTGGAGTCGATCTATAGGTCACAATTATAAACCGAAAATCACAACACAACCCACGGTGGAGGGAATCTTGACAAGTATAGAAGGGATGTACTGAATTTTAGAAATATTCGGAAAATATGGCAGTGCCTCTAATCGGGCAAGAGGGTGCAAATATCAGAAATATCAGGCTAAGAATAAAAATCCGCAGAAAGTTAGAGTTCCGTGGTACTTGCGTAGGGTATCGTATGGTCGGCCCCGTCCGACTATACTGCTCTGCTCACTGGTTTGAAAATACTTTTTAAACATCCCCTATATATAAGTCGAATTTGTCAAAATAGTGTCTTAAAGATAAAACTGAGGTCGTATTTTTTATACCCTTCACCACACTGTGGTACAGGGTATCATGCCTTTGTGCATATGTTTGTAACAGGCAAAAGGAATCGAGATAGACCCCTGGTTCCTTTTGAGAATATGAATGGAATAAGGTCTTTCGTGCACCAACGACCGTATATATCTTTCGATTTGCACGAAATTGAGCATGTTGTACTGAATTTCGTCTATAATAAATATAGCCGATTTTAGGTAATTGGTGCATCAAAATCTCTGAAAATCATTCGATTTTAACGAAATTTGTCATAGCGCACTGAATTAAGGCTAAAATGACGTGCGCTAAGTTTCGTGAAAATTGGTTCAGATTTAGATATAGCTCCCATATATATTTTCGTCCGATTTTATGTAAATGGTGCACCAAAGTCTCTATATATCTTTCGATTTGCACGAAATTTGGCATATCGTACTTAATTGAGTCTAGAATGATGTGTGTTAAGTTTCCTGAAAATCGGTTCAGATTTAGATATATATATATATATATTTTATATATATATATATATATATATATATATATATATTTTACTGAAGTTAATATAAATTAATTTCTGACAAGTTTCCTTGAAGTCGGTTTAGATATAAATATAGCCTAGCTTCCATATATAATTTCGACCTATTCATGTTAATTGTACACCAAGTAATCAATGGGTGTGTGATTGAGATTAAATTATAAACCATGCGGCATACCAAATAGCGTGTGTCAAGTTTGCTTTAAGGGAACCCCCCCCCCCCCCATTCCCCATTTTTAAGATTTTAAATGGGCTGGTAAATGAATACCAATGCTTGTTAAGGTTTATAACTTGGCACATATATATTTGAAGATTTAAAAAGTAAGAAAAATAATTTACCAAAATTTGTTGTTATTGTTTTGTTGTTGTTTTTTGGGTTCAAAGAGAAGTCCATATTTTCGATGGCGGGTATGATAACTCCTCACTGGAACATCGGAATCCAAAAATTCCAACGGTGTTAGAAAGAGGACATGTCTGGCTCTCGTATGAACTAGGATTATTGACTTCGCACAACAATTAACAAAATGGCGGAACTTTGAACATTTTTTTTGGAAAATCGCCTATTTTTTACCATAAACTAAGTTAAAAAATAAGGAAGATCTTCCCCGATTGGCTTTATCCTAGTTCATACGAGAGCTACACACTCCCAGAGAAACGTGTCAAAATTTGAAACCGATTGGATTATTAGTTTTTGAGTTATCGTGCCCGCCATTCGTTTTGAGAAAAATGCGATTAAAGTTTGAGAATCACTCTTGCCGTCACTAGATGCTGACACAATAAATCGGCTATATCTTCAAGAGTTCTTCAGATTTTCACTTGAAATGTTGTAGTAACATTCTAGAATTATAGTAGATTCGAATTAGATCAAAAAAAATTTTGACACCGAGAATGGGGGGGGGGGGGTCCCTCTAAATCGATTTACAAAATTTAGCACAGGTTGCAGAATGACATGTGTAGGGATTGATGTTAGTCGGTTTAGATATAGATAAAGATCACATATTTAAGTTCGTCCAATTTAATGACAATGTTCCTTCAAAATGGCGATGTCTGTTAGGATACATATGTAGAATATACCCATAGTGGGGAAGGGTATCATATAGTCGGCCCCGTCCGACTTTTTTCCTTACTGGTTCAAGACTTAAATATGGCGCAGATTTTTTAAAGACAATTTTTTCAGGCCTATAAATGGCGTGGATTTTTTAAAGAATATTTTTAGGGCCATTCAAAGCGAGGATGTTTTTAAAAATTATTTTTTAAGAGGAACCACATGTCGTGGATTTTTATAAAATATTATTTTTAAGTGTCTTCTTAAAAATAATATTTTATAAAAATATTAGAAAATGTTTTTTCTAATATTTTTTAGGTTTAAATGGTTATACGGGAAAGGCAAGACCTGTTTGAATTTTTTACACACCTGTAAAAGTAATTATTATGACAATTGGCCCAAAAGAGTTGTAATTAAATTGTCTATTGTCTCAATACAAATGCGTGAAAAATACTTTTTTCAAGCTAATTGATTTAATGTTTTGCCTTATTTAGTTATTCAATTCAAAACTGGCATCATTTGATTTTTTTTTATTTATTTTTTTCAATTAAAACGTTTTACGAAAATCTGCTTGCAAACTATTTCCCAGATGTGTTGAATGATTTTTGAGTTTTTTTTTTGTAGATTATTTTTAGATTAACACTTTCGTTGAAAAGTTGTTGCATAAACAATAAATTTTGGCACGTTTTTTTGATTTTTTTTCTTTCTTTCCCCTCCCCCCCTCTTTTCAACCATTAAAGATTTGCTTTTAAAAAAATGAAAATAAAAAAATCTCGCCACCCAAAAAAAAAAACCAAAAATGTGTCAAGAAAATTACTTGTGACATTTGTGGAATTTGAGCAGCTACTTTCTCTTTAGAAAATTTTAATGGTTGGGGAGGGAAATCGGATTTTTTTTGTTTTAAACAACAAATTATTTATGGGATAATTTGTGTTGAAAAAATTTCCACTATTTTCAGATTAACTGTGACAAATTTTTTTTTGTAAGAAAAAAACACAACAACATACACCATAATAAATCACCCAATTTGTTAAAAAAAAAACTATTTGATAGTGGTCCCACAAACCCGATCATCCGACTTAGCTACTTGGCAAATAAATAATCTTCATATCAAATCATTTCACTTCAGTATTCTAATGAGAATTTATTTTCTTTCGTTTCAGCATTTCTAAGTTTGAGTGGCCTGCCGTTGACCGGTGCTGATGGAGGAGCCCATTGGGGTTATCCCGACTATAGCGAAAATGAAGGTAATTTTTTGTATTTGTTGATTTGAATTCATGACGAAATATGAGCCCACTTGAGATAATTGTGGAGCAGCAATGGTCACTACAACAACAACAGCAACAATTGCTATAAAGATGATGATAGTTGTCAACATTAATGGGGGCTACTAATTTAGGATGGTATGATATGCAAACATACATACACACACTTGGAGGCACAGCAAGTGAACTAAACCCATAAGAATGTGGCATAGTAAAGGCACAGTGTTTTGATACCAAACTTAAAAAAAAAACCAGTAAGGAAAGTAGTAGTTGGACTGGGCCGACTATATGATAACCTTCACCACTTTGGGTACATTCTACATATGTATCCTAACAGATGTCGCGTTTTTGTTATATATCTATATCTGAACCCATTTCGGGGAAACTTATCAGAGACTAATTTATATTACTTCAGTGCGTTGTTAAGTACCCTATACCAAAATTCGTGCAAATCGAAAGATATATAGGGATTTTGGAGCACCAATTATCATCAATCGGATGAAAATATATATGGGAGCATATGTAAATCTAAACCGAGTTTCACGAAACTTAGCACAATTCATTCTAGACTTATTTCAGTACTCTATGCCAAAATTCGTGCAAATCGAAAGATATATAGGGATTTTGGTGCACCATTTACCTAAAATCGGCCGAACTATATATGGGAGCTATATCTAAATCTGAACCGATTTTCATGAAACTTAGCACACATTATTACAGACGCAATTTAGTACAATATGCCAAATTTCGTGCAAATCGAAAGATATATAGGGTCTTTGGTGCACAATCAATCGGATGAAAATATATATGGGAGCTATATCTAAATCTGAACCGATTTTCATGAAACTAAGCACACATTATTATAGACTCAATTCAGTACAATATGCCAAATTTCGTGCAAATCGAAAGATATATAGGGTCTTTGGTACACCATTTACCTTAAATCGGATGAAAATATATATGGGAGCTATATCTGAATCTGAACCGATTTTCACGAAACTTTGCACAAAACATTCTAGAATTTATTCATTACGCTTTACCAAATTTCGTGCAAATCGAAAGATATATAGGGACTTTGGTACACCATTTACCTAAAATCGGACGAAAATATATATGGGAACTGTATCTTAATCTGAACCGATTTTCACGAAACTTGGCAGACATCACTCTAGGCTCAATTCAGCCAAATTTCGTGCAAATCGAAACATATATAGGGTCTTTGGTGCACCAAAGACCCTATATATATTTGGTACACCATTTACCTTAAATCGGACGAAAATATATATGGGAGCTATATCTAAATCTGCACCGATTTTCACGAAACTTAGCACACATCATTCTAGACTTTATTCATTACGCTTTGCCAAATTTCGTGAAAATCGAAAGATATATAGGGACTTTAGTGGACTATTTAACTAAAATCGGACGAAAATATATATGGGAGATGTATCTAAATCTGAACCGATTTTCACAAAACTTGGCAGACATCATTTTAGGTTCAATTCAGTACGTTATGCCAAATTTCGTGCAAATCGGTGCACCATTGATCTTAAATCGGACGAAGATATATGTGGGAGCTATATCTAAATCTGAACCGATTTTCACGAAAATTAGCACACATTATTCTAGACTTTATTTATTACGCTGTGCCAAATTTCGTGCAAATCGAAAGATATATAAGGACTTTGGTACACCATTTACCTTAAATCGGAAGAAAATATATATGTGAGCTATATCTAAGTCGGAACCGATTTTTTTACAAATTCAATAGGGTTCGTTATTGGGTCAAACAAATGAGCTTTGGCACAGCTCATCATCCAATTCGGCCAAATTTCATCCAATTTATCATGGACAGACGGACGGACATGCATAAATCGACTCAGAAAGTGATTCTATGCATATTCTCAAAAGGAACTATGGGTATATCTAGATTATTTTTGCCTGTTACAAACATATGCACAAAAACATAATACCCTATACCACAGTGTGGTGAAGGGTATAAATATGTTTGGATAGAGGCGAGGATTTAAAAAATAAAAATTCAAGACTCCAATATAGGCGTGGATGTTTTAAAAAATATATTTCTAAGGCTCCAAAAATAAGGCGTGGATTTTTTAAAGAATATTTTTCTAAGGCTCCAAAAATAAGGCGTGTATTTTGTAAAGAATAATTTTCTAAGGCTCCAAAAATAAGACGTGGATTTTTTAAAGAATATTTTTCTAAGGCTCCAAAAATAAGGCGTGGATTTTTTAAAGAATATTTTTCTAAGGCTGCAAAAATAAGGCGTGGATTTTTTAAAAAATATTTTTCTAAGGCTCCAAAAATAAGGCGTGGATTTTTTAAAGAATATTTTTCTAAGGCTCCAAAAATAAAGCGTGCATTTTTAAAGAAAAATTTTTCAATTCTTGATTTTTTCCAAACACTGTGCCTATTATCTGTCACAAAGCTATTCCAAAAATGCCATAGCTTAGTAGCCCACTTTAATAGGAACTAATCATCTAAAATGTGTATTAAATTGGTAAATTGCCTATATGTCTATGTATGTAAATAGGTTTGTGAAAAATCAGGCCAACATGTGTGTCAAAATTTATGATTATTAGTTTTAATTTGGAAATCTAAAACAATTTAATTGAAATTAATTCATGAAAAAAATTCACCCTTTGCAGAATTTCCAAAATGGGGAGGAGTTTGTGATAGCGGCACCCGGCAATCGCCCATCAATTTAAGTCTGAGAGGTGCCATTAAAGGTGTCTATGAGAAATTGGAGGGAGATAATCATGATAAGACCATTACCGAGGCATCTCTAGTCAACACCGGACATTCTGGTAAGATGGACCCTTAATCGAAATTGAATTTCAAAATCGTAATTTTCCTAATTTCCCTTTCAGTTCAAATGTCCGATTTCGATGTCGATTTGGAATTGGAGGGTGGCCCGCTCAAGGATGACTATGTCTTGGAACAGATACATTTCCATTGGTGGTCAGAGCATACCATTGAAAATGTCCGTTATCCCTTCGAAATGCATATGGTCCATCGTAATAAGAAATATCCCAATATGACTGTGGCAAATTTGAATAAGGATGGTTTGGTTGTGATGGGTGTATTGTTCCATGCCTCGTTGGAACGTAATCGTGTTGTGGATGACATTTTGGCGGATTTTGTTCCCATCATGAGTTATGAACAGATTAATATGCCCATTAAAATTAAGACAAATTTCAAAATGACCGATTTGGTGCCAGCCATTACTAGCTATATTACCTATGAGGGTTCATTGACCACACCCTCGTGTAATGAAGTTGTAACATGGATCGTGCTGGCCGAAACATTCCCCATTGGTATTGATCAGGTAAGGAAACTTCAAAAATATGGGAATAATGTTCTTGAAAAAATATTCTTTGAAAAATCTACGCCTATATTACTAACTTACTTAGCTGGCTTGTAACAGAACTGTTGTTCCATAAGCCGAGCTTAAAAAAGATTTCCAGGCGCGTCGGTCTTGTGCGCAAATTCACCAATTTGGGTGGTCTTTCCATCTAATTCGTGGCCTTCCCCTTCTACGGGAACCATCAGTAGGCTCGCTTTTATATGCCATTTAAGCTGGGGCATTCTCATTCATTCGCACAACATGGCCTAGCCACCGTAGTCGCTGCAGCTCAACACGACTGACTATGTCGATGTCCGCGTATAAATTGAAAAGCTCGTGGTTCATTCAACACCGATATTAACCGTCGATGCAGATCGGCCCATAGATCTTTCGGAGAATTTTTCTCTCAAACACCCCAAGAGCAACCTCATATGGTTTCACAAGTACCCATGCTTCAGATCCATATAACAGCACGGGTAGTATCAGCAACTTGTAGAGTGTGAGTTTTGTCTGGCAGGAGGTGGCCTCGTTTCTAAACTGCTTACTTAGACCATAGCAGCATATGTTGGCCATCACAATCCTTCTCCGAATTTCAAAACTGATGTCTTCGTTTTATTTATGGCGGTACCAAGGTAAATAAAATTTTTGACTACCTCGAAGCTATAGTTCTCAAGTTCCACAGTTGGTCCGAGTCTACTGGACGTCTTGCGCGTTGATACCATCTCGCCGTTTACAGCCAGGCCCACTATGGCAGACTCCTTTTCAATTTGTTCAAAAGTGGCTGTTACCGCTAGCAATGTTCGAACCATTATATCGATGTCATCGGCGTAGGCGAGTAACATGTGTTTTTTTTTTTTTTGGTGTACATTTCTATTCACCTTTGCGTCTCGTATGACCTTTTCCAGCAGGATGTTAAAAATATCACACCACAACTGTCACCTTGTCTGAATCCTCGTTCGTTATTGAAGGGCTCCGATAGGTCCTTTACTACTTTAACTGCAGACCTTGTGCCACTTAAAGTTATCCTGCATAGCCGTACTAATTTTGCTGGAATGCCAAACGCAGACATGGCTTTGAACACCTCTGAACGGATAGGGCTGTCGAACGCGGCTTTTTAGTCGACGAACAGGTGGAATGTGTCGATGTGTTTTTCGTGGGTTTTCCAGGATTTGGCGCAGAGTGAAAATCTGGTCAATGGTGGATTTGCCAGGACTGAAGCCGCATTGGTATGGTCCATTAATGTCATTGACCATTGGCTTCAGTTGTTCAAACAGCACCCTGGATAGCACTTTATATGCGATGGGAAAGAGACTAATTCCTCTATAGTTGGCACATATCGTCTTTTTTGTGCACGGGACTCAGGATGCTGAGGTTCCAATCATTGGGCATGCATTCTTCTAGCCATTTAGCTGTGCGGCTTGTAACCCATCGGCACCTGCTGCTTTATTATTCTTCAACCGATGGATTGCTATTCCGACTTCATCTTGGCTAGGGGGTATACACTCTATACCGTCATCTATTATTGATTCTGAGGTATCCTCTCTACCGCTACTAGTTGATACCTGAAATTTTCCAAAATGCTCCTTCCAGATCCTCAGCACGCTGTCTGTATCTGTCACCAGGTCTCCTTCTTTATCTCTATAGGAGGATGTGCCTGCGCCAAAGCCTTCGGTTTGGTGAATTTTCGGAATTCATTCTGACTCCTGTATATCTCGATTTGTTACGCTCACGTTTTTCTTGCTCTTTCTTCTTTTTTTCTGAAAATACGTTACTCCTCTCTCTCCTTTTCTCCCGATAGTTCTCCATCGTATTACGTGTTGCTACTGTCTGCAGGGTTGCCCTATACGCTGCGATTTGCATATCAGTAGCATTACGACACTCCTGATCGTACCACGGATTTCTTGATGGTGGTCTTTGGTACCCAAGTGTTGCTTTTGCTGCAGTTTGTAGGGAGTGGTCAATTCTCTGCCATCTTGCTTCTATATTATTATCGGTACAAGGGGCGTTGAGCGGAGTAGGCTTCTGCTATCTGTTGTGTTTGCAGATTTTCGACTTCAAATTTCCGTGTTACATTAGATCGAACCTTGGCTGCCACAAGGTAATGGTTCGAATCGATATTCGCTCCCCGGGTCGATCGGACGTCTAAAACACTGGATGAATGCCTTCCGTCTATCATAACATGATCGATTTGATTTCTCGTTGTTCGATCGGAAAAGATCCTAGCGGCCTTGTGTATATCGAGATGCTAGAATCTGGTGCTGCTAACTACCATGTTTTTTCTGCCGTTATCTGATGTTTCTTCATGAAGGCTGAATTTTCTGACGGTGGGCCCAAAGATATTTTTTCTTCCGATTTTTGCATTAAAATCTCCTAGCGGAATTTAAATGCCGTTATCTGATGTTTCTTCATGAAGGCTGAATTTTCCGACGGTGGGGCCAAAGATATTTTTCCTTCCGATTTTTGCATTAAAATCTCCTAGCGGAATTTAAATGTCATGGTCTGCTCATCTTTGTCTTCGGTCGGAGCATGGGCGCAAATAAGACTGATGTAGAAGAACTTCGCTTTTATACGGATTATAGCTATTCGCTCATCTACGGGATTGAATCTGGAGACTCGGTATTGTATTCTCCTGTTAACCATAAATCCCCAGCCAAATTCATGTGTCGTTTTATGACAGCTAAAATACAGTGAATAATCATCTGATGTACTTACGCCAGTCCCTTTCCATCGCATTTCCTGTTAGGCAATAATATCGGCTTTGTACTTCTTGAGTACATCCGCCAAAATGAACACTGCGCCTGTTCTGTACAACGTGCGCACATTCCAAATGCAGATTCGCAGATCGTGGTCCTTTTTATGTTTGCGGGGGGTTTGGTTTTCTTTTTCTTTGCTTTTTCGTAGTAGGTTGGGTTTTCCGAGAGTGGGCAACTAACCCGACGTCTCAACCCAATTTTTTATAGTTCTTATGGGTGAACTCGCGCCACATATTAGCTCACTATTTCAACGGGTGATGAAAATAAATCTACACCCATATTGAAGGCGTGAAAGAATATTTTTAAAACATCCACACCCATATCGGAGGCTTGAAAAAATATTTCTAAAAACTCCACGCTTTTCTTACACTATAATTTTTTTAAATTTCTTTATTAATAAATTTATTTTTTTTTCATTTCCAGGTCGAAGCCTTTAAATCATTGGAATACGAACGCGGAAAAACACTGGCCAATAATTATCGCGTCATCCAAAAGACCAATGATCGGGCTGTTATCATCGTCACCAATGAATTCAGAAAAGATTCAGGAAATGGTTCGGCCTCATTGAAATCGACTGGATCGGTGACAGCCCTGCTTGTCGTAGCTGGATTATTGTTTAAATATTTCAATTAAATAGAATATTTATTTATTTATTGTGGTGTAGATAATTCATTTTCATTGACTACGACATTATGCTCTCTCACTACCGCTCCCGCTCCCGCGCTCTCTCTCTAACTCTCTAAACAAAAGAGTATACCAAAGATATAATTTATAAAATATTATTAATAGTAATCACCTAATTATGTGTGTTATAATTTAAGACTAAATATCTATATATGTATATTTATTTTATATATATGTATGTAGTGTTACATTCATTCTGTCATTCATTTGTGTTGTCGTACATAGTTCCTCTAAATTAAATTAAAAAAACAAAATATTTAATTTAAGCTGAACAAAAAAAAAAAAAAATAATAATAATATAAAAAATCTGCATTTTATTTAAAAAAATCCATTCAATCATAACAACAAAGTATCTCAAATAGTTTATAACAGGAAAAACAACAACTACAAACAAAAACAAAACAAATCATTGACAACGAAACATTCAAAAGAAACAAATTTTTAACTACCTTGTTAATTTAAAATTTAAAATAAGTGTTTGTTTTTTATTATTAGCTAATAATTATGCACTGTTATTTATTTGGCAACTTACAAAAATAAGAAGAAGAATTTGTTTTTATTAATTACAATTTACAATGAATTTGCATAAAATTTTAAAAATGCTTTGCTTTCGATTTATTTCTGCTACTAGTCAATGTCAATATTGCGTTTATGTAAATGTGTTGAAAAATAAATAAAAAATATAAATTAAAAAATATATATTACCGTTGTGTTTTAATCACTATAGATTAAGGAAAATTAAAATAATGTGGGTCTTTAAAAAATATTGTTTTGATATATATTTAGCGGGTCAAATGTACACTGACTTTTTGGTGTGAAAATTACAACATTTGTATTCTGGGACGTATATATTTACTCCTGAAGGACATATACCCGAGACGTATCCAAGAGGAGTAGTTGACCTTTAAATTGATACCAATTGCATTGTCGTATGTACTCGGATGTGTGAGTTAGACATAAATACTTACAGGTGCTTACGTATTCAGATATTATTTAGTAATTCATTACCAGACTGGACGGCGGAAATATAGCGCTGATCGTTTTGAAATGTTCCATGAGGTTCCAGTTATGGTCAAGGACAACGCCTATAATTTTCGGTGATGATCATATAATAATAATTCCCTTCACCACACTGTGGTACAGTGCATATGTTTGTAACAGACAAGAGGAAACGAGATAGACACGTGGTTCCTTTTGAGAATATGCTTAGAATCACTTTCTGAGTTGATTTATGCATGTCCGTCTGTTGGTGTTAAATTGTAAACAAAGTACAGGTCGCAGTTATGATCCGAATTGGATAAAATTTGGCATAGGTCACTTATTTGGCCCAAGGATTTAGATATAGCTCCCATATATATTTTCGTCGAAATGGTGCACCATAGTCACTATACATCTTTCGATTTGCACGAAATTGGACATAGCGAACTGAATTAAGTCTAGAATGATGTGTGGAAAGTTTCGTGAAAATCGGTTCATATATAGATATAGCTTCTATATATATATTCGTCCGATTTTAGGTAAATGGTGCACCAAAGTCCCTGTATACTTTCTATTTGTACGAATTTTGGCATAGCGTACTGAATTGAACCTAGAGTGATGTCTGCCAACTTTCGTGAAAATCGGTCCAGATTTAGATATAGCTCCTATATATAGTTTCGTCCGATTTTAGGTAAATGGTGCACCAAAGTCCCTGTAAATGTTTCGATTTGCACGAAATTTGGCATAGCATACTGTATGGAATCTATAATAATGTAAGCTAAGTTTTGTGAAAATCGGTTCAGATTTAGATATAGCTCCCATATATATTTTCGTCCGATTTTAGGTAAATGGTGCACCAGAGTCCCTGTAAATGTTTCGATTTGCACGAAATTTGGCACAGCGTACTAAAGTAGGCCTAGAATGACGTACCTGAAGGTTAGTGAAAATCGGTTCAGATTTAGGTATAGTTCCCATAAATATTTTCGTCCGATTTAATGTAAATGGTGTACCAAAGTCCCTATATATCTTTCGATTTCCACGAAATTTGGCACAGCGTAATGATTTAGGTCTAGAATGACGTGTGTTAAATTTGCAGAAAATCGGTTCAGATTCAGATAGAGTAACTTCGGGTAATGTGGACCACCATTTTCTTTTTTTTATATTGTGGGCGTAACAAAGGTAAAAAATAAAAACAAATTGCTTTCACAACATGGTAGATTTGTTGGCTAATTATATTCCAGGTCAAAAATTATATATATTTATCCATAAAAATGTTATTGCATTTTATTTCAAAAAACTCTAAACTGCAAATAAAAATAACTTGGCGGGTAATGTGGACCAGTATGTGTGGGTAATGAGGATCAGTAAGTTAAAGGTAGGTTGTGGATTAATTGTGATAAATATCAATTTATTGTACTCTTGGGTAACAATGAATGCAAAAATATATGGGTCCATGTTTTGGAATAGCTCCCTTTTAGGGGTACCACCACATTTGAGGTATTTTGAAGGTCCTTGCTTCATTATCCAACCGAGGCACCTATAATTTCGGATATCGAGTTTTCAGAGGATAGAATACCTCCTCGCATATTAAATGCGTCCTTGTTTCGAGCTCGTCCTTATGAAAATGTCCCACTTTTTTATAGTGGTCCACATTACCCGACACTGAATATTTTTATTTAAAAATAATTATCGGCTTCAAAAACGAATAAAAATTTAAAAATAACCGATTGTAATTACAGATAAACGTGTATTTTTGTTAAAGAAAACAAGAAAACCACATAACCTCTTTATATTCCAGAAAAACATAATGTTCGACTATTTTACAAAATCGTTCGACTATTGTGCTAAAAAATTTTCAAATCACACTTTTACAATCAGAGCTACATTTTCACCTACTAAATTTTTAATATTGCAATTATATATTAAAAACCAAGTTTGATGGTTGTTTTCACTAATTGCGAAAACATTTATCAAGGCGGCATTGACATATTTCAAGCATTTTCTTAGATATGGGGGGTGGTCCACATTTGACGCATGGTCCACATTACCAGAAGTTACTCTATAGCTCCCATATATATGTTCCACCAAAGTCCATATATGTCTTTCAATTTGCACGAAATTTGACATAGCGTAATGAATTAGTTCTAGAATGATGTGTGTTAGGTTTCCTGAAAATCGGTTCAGGTTTAGATATAGCTTATATAAGGAAAGTGTTTTAAAATTCTAAAGGAACGGAGAAAATCTGTTGGCGATTTGAAAAATGGCAGGTGTGGTACGTATTGCAGCGCTAAACACGGAGAACTATGACACATGGAAATTGCAAATGCGTGCAATTTTGGTGAAAAACGATTTCTGGATATATGTCGATGGAAGCGATGAATGTCCCAATGGTGCAATGGAAGCAGCAGCTTGGAAAAAGCTAGACCAAAAGGCAGCGGCCGACATCATGTTGTCATCGCTAATTTCACCGGAATTGGGCTTGATGGCAGAATGTAAGAGATTGGAATCAACGTATCAATCGAGAGGGCCTGCGAAGAAGGCTACCCTGTCGCATTGTCGGAAATGCGTGACGGCGATAATTTATGGGAACATCTAAACGAGGGAGGTACCATTGTCGGAAGTCAATTAATTGGGCGATCATCGTCGATTGGACTTTTGGCAGCTATTTTTAATATGACTGTATATATATATATATATTGACTTACCAAAACACAGCTTACGGTTCGCCATGCTCAACCCTGAAAGTAGCAAAAAAATTGTTAAATTAATAAAATGTAAAATTTAAGTATAGTCCATGACAATAATGAATATTTTTGTAAAATAAAAATTTCAGTAAAATTTTTCAAGCTCTACCAAAGGTGTGCATTTTTAAAGAATATTTTTTCAAAGCCCAAATAAGGCGTGGATTTTTTAAAGAATATTTTGCAAAGTCTATGTAAGGAGTGGATTTTTGTAAATATTATTTTTTTTCAAGGCCTATGGAATGGGTGGATTTTTTAAGAATATTTTTGTTTCAAGGCCGTGGATTTTTTTAAGGAATATCTTTTTTACACTTTTGCCCCCCCCCTACCCCAGGTAAATTTGGAGGTGGTCAAATCATTCTCTCAGCGATTCTTATGCCGTTATAGACTTATAAAATTATTTTTATAAAAATTTGATTATGTTAATTAATGATTTTGTTGAATAAATCTGGATATTAAATGTTTAAAACAAATTGCAAAGCCTAATCTAGGGCGGGGTATAAAATAATTAATTTGAGCCTAAAGATATGCTATGCATTTCATGGATAATTTATTTTTGTTGAAACATGTTTGTCTAGTTTGATGATTTGTCGTTCAATTATTAAATTGACGATTAACTTTGGTAAGGGATTGTTTTAAGTGAATTTATAGAAATCAACTTCGCCATAATTATATAAAAATAATCGTCGGATAAAATATGGAATTTTTAGTTTGGTAAAAAAGTTTAAATTCGTTTAATATGTAAATTCTATGTTATATAAAAATAATTTTTTAAAAGTCTCTTCGAAACCGTTTAAACTTCGGTTATTTGGAAATAATATTTAAACCTAATAAGTCTTAAAAAATGTCACAATGTCGATTTATTTCTAGTATAGGGGAGAGGGGGGCACCTTTGAACGTGGGGCAGCTTTGAACAGCGCTCATAAAATCTTGGTTTAATATTTTTCCGACCCGCAACCACATTTTTGTATATGGCAATCTTGTTCTCTATATGCGTAAACCACTTTGGCTTGCTTTTTCAGTTGTCGAAAAATTGTGCATGGGTGACCATGTTTTCTCAGTGTAATTGTAAACTTTTATTCATTTGGTTGTAAGGGCGCATGAAGAATTCTGTGATAGTTTTCTTTCGTCAAACAAATGTTTTGCATTCCAACAATCATTTCAAACATAACTATTGTAATTTCTTTCATATATATTTATTACAAAAAAAGTTATTTTAAATTTCCGTAA